AAAAAATCATGATTTACTTACAAACTACCTATTTATCTATCTATTCATCAGAGATAGAGGATGAATTTAGAAAAAATACCCAGAATGTGAAAGGTTAGATGAATAAAAAGATAAAAAGGACAATCCCAGAATTCTAACTGAGGTCAATAAATGTGCTCAGAAAGCATAGTAATTGAAACTGAAGCATGTACGTAGGCAGGTAAGTAAATACCCACTTGTTTATACTTTATTGCACTTACCTCTTGAAAAAGTTAGAGTGGTTTATGTGGCTACAATAAAGATGGCATAAATTAGAAGTACTGAGAAAAAGGAGAAAGAAGAAACATTAAAAGAAGAAACTTAGTTGTGCCAAAGTGTTCATCACCTTGTAAAATTCTTAGTCAAGAACAGTTTGAATAAAAGTAAAGAACTTAATATAAAGATATCCCCCCAAAACGTGACTCCACCACCCAGCTTCAGCAATGGCAACTCCTATCCAGTCTGGTTTCATCTATATACCTACCCTCCTCCCCCAATCTATTGTATTTGGAAGCCAATCCATATCATATCAGTTCATCCATAAATTTTTCAGTGTGTGTCTCTGAAAGATAAGGACTCAAACTGTTATCACATTACCATTATCACACCTAAATAGTTAACAATAATTTCTTAATAATCATCATCTAACTAATCTGTGGTCAGATTGCACTAATTGCCTCACAGATATTTTTTTTTTAGTTGATTTTTTTTGAATTAGGATCCAGCCAGGTTTCACATATTTTGCAGCTGATTGGTATTTTTCAAGTCTCTTTTCATCTATATCTTCCCTACCTCTTTCTGTCTTCTTTTGTTTTTCTTTGTTGAACAAAACTGGTCATTTGTTTTACATTATTTCCCACATTCTGGAGTTGGCTGATTGGATCCCCAGGTATCATTCAGTGTACTCTTCTGCACCCAGTATTTCTAGGACAGTGGTACTTGTCCTGAGAGCTGGAAGAGGAAAAGTGATATCAAGGATTTCTTGAGTCTGGGGGCCACGCTCTCACTATTTGCTTGCCTGACCATGGACAACTGGGCTCATTTAAAGGCTACGGTGGAGACAGAATCTAGAGCCCCTTCTGCCCAGCCTCCCTCACCCGTCCTGTAGCATCTCTAAAGGAATTTTTTTTAACCCAGAACTCTGATAAACACAGTTTGAAAGTCTCTGGTCAAATTCCCAGCAAGGATTTTCATTCTTTATTTGCTCTTCTCCAGTAGCCTGGTTGAAGGTGGAAGTCCTATTGGAAGTGACAGGTTTTCAAAGCAGGGAAATAAAGTTGAGTCAGCGACTGGATAATTAAGGACTCCAAAATCCCTAAAGAGAGATTTATGCTGCAGGGACATTTCACAGTAGAGTATTCCCAAATTCCATCTTAATTTCTTTCTGTATCAGAACCTTTTTATTCTTAGATCTTCCATTGCTGTTTAAAAAGTATCTACAAAATCTATAGTCTTCATTCACAATCTCTTGTGTTTTGTTGGCCTTTAACCACAATCAGCTTCTGGGAGCTACATTCTCACCCAAGAGAAAAAGGTAGAGTCAACGCCTGGGCATCCGGAAGAGTCCGCTCTGCTTTCTGCTTCTAGATTCTGGAAAAACTCATTTTCCTCAGGGAGCTTTAGACAGCCTCGGTCTGGGAATTCCCTGCCCCAGGGGTATCACCTTATGGATGGCCCTGTAAGTCATCAGTCACCAAGTTTTCCACTCCTGTCAGGCTGGCTTGAGATCAGACAGATAGTGGGGCTGTCTGAACATGAAACTAGCTGATGTCTCTGAACCTCTCATCACTTTAATCTGAGGGCAGTAACCTGCCATATTCAGTTTTATGGAAATAGGAAATGCCTTCTCCTTCTCATTGCACAAGAAAAGGGGGTCAGTGATGGTGTTGGCCTGTGCCAGTTGATTTCCTCTGTGCGTCTTTCAGCTTTCCATTGGTTAGGGTGATTGCTGCTGGGGAGTCACCTGCAAAGAACCTACTCTTCCTGTGAGAGTATCTGTGGAGTCTCCCAGCAAGGAGTGCCATGGAGCCGCCATGCCTTCATCCTCAGCATGGGAGGGCGAGAGCTTCATAGTGGACTTAGGGAGATGTGGGGTGGAAAGGAGAGTTCCACTCTGCATCTGCAGTAGTAAGACAAACATAAAAGACACAACTGTCTATCCCACACTTCATCCCATAGATATACTCCTAGGGTCCAGATGAGAAGTGATGAGACTAGATATGCCTCAAAGGAGGAAAAATCCATTGCTCAGAACATGAGGCAGACCCAATAATGGCCTCTCGGGAGAGGTAGATCCCACGGAAATAATCCATTCTTCAGTTGCTTCTAGCAGGATATGAAATTCATTCAAATATATAGACACAACGTGAGGTTTGGCGTCTCTGCATCACTCAGAATGTCTCATAAACTCCCCAGGCAGTGGCTGTAACTGCAAGCCAGGTGTTAGGGAGCATAGCAAAGCACCAAGCATCTTTCTGGGATCCACTTGGGATACATAGATGTTGCTTAGAAGGACAGTGTGTGGACTCTGGAGACAGATGATCTCTGGATTGTCCTGTCAGGAGCAATGAGCTGGGAAAGGATTGGACTCAATCCAGAGCTAGACATGCAGTCCCCCCACATAGCCCACCATTACAATGCATCAGATCTAGGGTTAATGCCAGCCATCCCTTTCCAGAGGAAGGACTGGTCAGAGACTTGAAAACAAGTTCAAATAAGCTTGCTAATCAACTGGAGGCTACACGAACGAACGAGAGTGAAGGTGCCAAACCGACTGGGGGACGTGCAGAGGCGGTGGGGGAGCAGACAGCAGGGAGCAGCGGGAGGGGCAAACAGAGAATGCCTGGCCGGGTTCCTGAGATAGTGGATGCAGTGGCTACATTCTTGGAAAGGTGCCCTGGGCTCATTTAATGAACCTCAAATAGAATGGATGCCTTCAATGCCACTATTTCTTTCTTTTTACATAAAGAATTGTATATTATTTTATTTTTTATTAAGTCATATACACATAGATCATGAGTACATTTATGCATATGTGGGGTACAATGTGTTGATTTTTTTGTACAATCTGACGTGCTTACACCAAACTAATCAACATAGCTTTCGCCTCATTTACTTGATTATTGTGTTAAGACATTTATATTCTACACTTGACAAATTTGACTTGTACCCTTGTCATATGCTCCATAGGTGTGGTCCCACCTTTTACTCTGCCTCTATCAACCCTCCCTCATCCCCTCCCTTCCCACTCCATTTCTCTCCTTCATCCTGGGCTATAGTTGTGATCTATCTGACATCAGCAAGAGCTCATGAGTAAGTGAAGTTAGAATCTAAGGATTATAGCAAGACAGGGGAGAATCCTGATTATAGCTCATATATCCAAAACCAAAATAACAAGTTCTCCCTTTCTGCCCTTTATTTATTTATTTATTTTGAAACAGAGTCTCACTATGTCACCCTCGGTAGGGTGCTGTGGCATCACAGCTCACAGCAACCTCCAACTCTTGGGCTTAAGCGATTCTCTTGCCTTAGCCTCTCAAGTGACTGGGACTACAGATGCCCAACACAAAGCCCAGCTATTTTTAGTTGCAGTTGTCATTGTTGTTCAGCTGACCTGAACCAGGTTCGAACCCGCCAGCCTTGGTGTATGTGGCCAGCACCATAACCACTGTACTACGGGCGCCGAGCCCCTTTCTGTCTTTTAAAGTCAAGTTACTTGGGATTGCTTCTCTGGAGAGTGTCCAACATACTACTTTACTTTCTAGTGAAGTGTTTGAAAAAAAACTTAATAGAAATTGACACATGCCTAAGTATTTAATTAGATTTTGCAATACTGTGGTGGGTGTTGTTCTGCTTTTTTAAAATAAAAGATTATGATCAGCATGTTCTCAGGTAAGGGCTTTGAGACTAACTTGTTAGGTACATTCAATTATTCATCTGTCAGCAGATACTTAGTAACTTTTAAACTTATACTATCCTAGACTTTGCATAGAATGGTAGTTCGCAAGCATTTTGGTCACAAGACTTCTTTACACTGAAGAGTTGTTAAGGCCCCATAAGAGCTTTTGCTTACATGGATAATACCTATTAATATTTACCATATTAGAAATTAAAACTAAGGCTTTTAAAATATTTTTTGTTTAAAAATATAAAACTGCTACATGTTAATGTAAATAGCATATTTTATGAAAAATAATTATATTTTTTAAAACAAAAAATGTAGTGAGAAGAGAGGTATTGTTTTATACTTTTGCGAATTTCTTCACTGTTTGGCTTAGGAGGAAACCCAGCTGGGCTTTTGTATCTGTTTCTACTCAATTTACTACACTATAGTATATTACTCTCAGAGTAGCACGTGAGAAAATCCGGCCTTGCACAAATATTTAATTGGAAAGGGAGCTATTTTAATAGCTTTGGGAATAATCGTGTGTAGTCTTGATTCCATACTCAAGCAGCAAGTGGAGGCTTCTTGAAGGTTGGTTGCATTCTGGAATCTGAAGTTGTCTCAGTGAACTTTTCGAACTCTTTTACATTAAAATCTATTAGTCTGTCTTATACTTGAAATGTGCCTATAACCTATGCATGATTCTGTGGCACCATGCATTCATTGGTCATTTGGAAAATATTAGCTCACTGAGTTATGCAGATTTTTTTAATTGTTGACACATTTCATTATTTTTGGTATTATTGTATCGAAACCAAAAAGCATTTGTGTTGGTACTGCCGTCAATGTCATCAAGAAAAGCTCTAAGAATCTGGAAGCTACTAAGCTTATAGCCGTGGATACCAGTTTTCTAAAATTCAGATTTTCACTTGAATTTGATAATTGGCAACAAATACTGTCGGTCCTTATCCTTGAAGGGCCAGGCTGGCTCCATTCACCTTCTACAAAATGTCTGTCAACTATCCAATGCTGAATAAACAGCTTCCCAGTTGTTCTTCTGAGAAAAAATGTTCTACAAAAATAGCAAGAAAATAGGTTTGAAATTTTTAGGTTCCCATCAAAGGTATTGAGAGTTTATTCTGTTAATAAAAAAAAAAGTTCCTTGGGCGGAACCTGTGGCTCAGTGAGTAGGGCGCCGGCCACATATACTGAGGGTG